TACACCTACTTCCTTGTAAATAAATCTCTTCCGGTTTAGTGTGTTTGCGGCTCGACTGTTCACCAAATTAAGTCTCCAATTTTATCTGTAGTATCATGCACATGGTTAAAATTTTAATACTTATACTAGACTCACTTTCTTTCCAAGTGTTCTGATAGTAATGTTATTGAGTATGCCTTTAAAATAGAAATAATAGCTACTAGACGAATGTAAAACATTAAGGGGCTCAGCCCCCTAGCCACGCTATAGAGCTGATGCACGGAAGTAATCAACGGGAGGGTGTGGCTAAAATTGAGCTAAATTGTCCGCCATGTTGGGTGGCAAGAAGGCCAAGAATGAATGGGGGAATGGAGAAAAAAAATTAAATAAATTCTGCAGTTGACATTCCAGGCTAATGCAAGGTAGGAGATGAAGATATTGAGTAAAGAAGTCTCTATAATATTCTACAGCCAAGTATGATATCTCTTTGATGAAAAATCGCAGTTTGTTTGCATTCCTCCATTTGTTGCGTGTACATTCTTGCCACTCAAGATGGCCGACAGGAAGCTCCGCCAGTCCGCCTACCCCGTTGATTACATCCGTGCAATAGCTCTATATTTTAAAGGTTATATGGTATAGAGCTACATTATTGTACATGTACATGAGTAAATACAGTAGTTTGTAATGAAGTTATCATGCTTGGAAATACAAATTTTCTTTAGGCCACGCCAATGAGATTCCTTGTTTCTCATTACCCGCCCGCATTGCCGCCTCTAATTTTTAATATTGTTAATATGCCATAGACTTCCAGGGCGCATGCGCAGACTCTGTTTTGTGGTGTTACTGTGCGCCATTTTTCTATAATTTCATGATATTTCTCCTGTTTCTTGCCTTATTGCAACTTGAGAGTCTCTGTTTGCGGAGTGTTTGTCGACCAAATAGCGCTAGCAAGAGTGCAAACTCAGTAAGTCGGGTTGTTACTATAATTTTTACAGCTCAGTTCTCTTTTCAGTACTCATTTCAGCCCGCGTCTTCTCTTCAGTCCTCGAGATATTCCTTAAGTACAGTGTTTTCAAGGCTAGTCTATTGTGGTTAGTGATTTAATTTTAGTTTTACATTCGTATAAATGTTTAAGTAATATTCCTTTCTTTCTCTGCCCTCTCTCTCAGACTCTGCATGTTTTGTTGCAAGAGCTCGCTCTCCTCACTGAATTGATGTTTGACACTAATATTGTGGTTAGTGCCGGGATTATACGTACATGAGTTATGATTCTCTCTCTCTCTCTCTTAGCATTTTGATATTGTTTTTTGCAAGAGCTCATTCTCTTTTCAGTTACCTTGGTTACTTATATTATCGTGGTTAGTGATTTTAATTAGGTACAGTAATAATTATCTCTTTCTCCCCTCACTCAGGCTCAGTCTCTCCTCTTCCTTTCTCAAAGATTGCAGATATACTTGTACTAACTTTAATGATTTTTGGTCAGTGCATTGTACTATTGAGTTCAACTTACAAAATTTGACTGAATTCAATTTTTTAGGTATTTTTTCTGTTTTTCTTTTTACTCTTGTATCTGCCTTTTGTTTTAAGTATTTGAAGCTTTATATTTGGTTAGTTGTTTATGTTGGCTTGATTTATTTTCATTATGTATTACTTATATTTATAGTGTTATGTCCCTCAATTTATTATTGGTAACGACAAGTGTCCTTGGTAATAATGGTAAATGTCTTTTGCCATGGACACTGACACAGTTCAATGAATTGTCATCTGTTTTGGAGTTTTTTACAAATGATCTTAAACCACGATTAGAAGCAGCTGATTTTAGTTTAGTTTCAGCACATTTGGGACATGATATAAGCTCTCTCTTCTTCGTAGACATAAATTTGCCTCTTGTTGCCATAGTACCATCGCATGGACGTTTTCTGCAGTATAAAGTTTCTGTTACGTGTCCT